CACCTTTGAGCAGGATTCCACACCTAGAGATTCTGATGCTGTTGATCAGGGTGAAGCTAAAGTATCAGGATCATTTAAAATGCTGTCCAGGTGATCCTACAATGTGTAGCCAGCTTGAGAGTCACTCATCCTTGGGGAGTGGCTCTCTTCTCCTGTTACACATTATAATCACCAAGATAATTTATAATAATGCTGAACTACCAGTCCCACCCACCCCTGGCCTATTAAATTAGAATTTGGAGGGGTGACAGCAACCTAGATCCGTGCATCTAGGGTCCCTTAGATATGTCTAATGTAAACAGAAATTAAAAGCATTGCACTTATAGAGAGCACCCACCATCTTTCCCTCCCTTTGTCTCTTTCCACCTTTTCATTTCCCAGCGGCATTTGCTGAAGGCTTCCTCTCTGCCCACACTGTCAAGCTCTGGTGACACTTTGGTGACTCAGTCCCTGCTTCTCCTAGAGGAGGTTGTTAATTTGGGAACTGTTTGGAATGTAAAGCCCACCTTTGTGAGGGAAGCTGCTGAGCCCTCTTCACTAGCCTGCTGCTGGCTGGGGAGCAATGCTGATGATGCACGTACTTGTCCCCACATTTATACATCTTGCCTTGCTTCTGAGTTTTCCAAGAGGTGTGGAGCTCTGCTCAGTAAATAGGATTGCGAATGGCTGGGAGGATGAGAGATTTTCTGGGAGTTCCCCTACATTTTGCATCAGGCTAACTTGTGACAGACAGCACAGTGGGGCCGCAGCTCTCTGCTCCTTCCTTAGCATGCATGAAGTCTGCAGCAGCTTTGCTGCCCTGAGTGTACCTGTGATTGCATCTGTGTCCTGGCATTGAGGGCAACCCTTTTGGCTGGATCCAGTAATACTCTGTGAGGTAAAGGGATGCTTGTGGCATTTTAATGTTCCTTTGCCACAGTCACTTAGGAACAAATCTTCCTACCCTGGGTTAGAACTGTAAGTACCAGGTTGCTGCCTGGGCTCTGGGGATTTATTTTTAAAACAAGTTAAAATTCACATAATTCAAAGTTAGTCACTTTAAAGTGAACAATTCAGTGGCACTTAGCACATTCACAGTGCTGTGCAATCATTACCTGAATCTAGTTCCAAAAATGTTTCACCCCTGTAAAAAGAACCTGGTACCCCATGAATTGACATTCCATATTCTACACTACCCTCAGCCCTGGAAATTTAGATTTAGCTATTCAGGATATTTAACACAAATGAAATTACATGGTATGTGTCCTTTTGTATGTAGCTTCTTTTGGGTTAGCATAGTTTTGTGGTCTATCAACATTGGTAGTATATACTTCATTCCCTTTTCTGACTGAATCATGTTCCATTCTATAGGTACAGAGCCATACCTCAAAGTTTCTGGGGGACTTCAAATTTGTGAATACTTTATATAAAATGGCATAGTATTTGTGTATGACTTATGTATATCTTCCCATGTACTTTAAATCATCTATATTCTTTATAACCCATAATATAAATGTTATAAAATAAGTGCTATTCTGCTATTGGGGAGTAATGAGGGAAAAGTTTGCTCGTGTGCAGTGTAGAAGCAATTTATATGTTTTTCCAACTTACATGTTTTTAACTATTTTTGAATCACGATAGATTGAATCCATGGAGGTGTTTGATTGAGTCAGTGAATGTATAACCCATAGATTATGGAGGACTGGCTATACAACAATTTGGCTGTCCATCACTCGATAGGACTTTGGGATCTTCCTACAGTTTGACTACTGGAAATGTTGGCAGTTTTTAGATTATTTATATCTATATTCCAACATCTGCTGCTCTAAGGTGCCAGGGGCCTCAGTAGGTAAGCAGTGCCACTATCTTACTTCCCTACACTACTCCAGTTCAATCCCTGGGGTTTCTAGAAGGGTGAAGTGTCCTGAGCGCCTCTCTTGGTCCAGATTCAGTGTCCATGGACTTAGCCATCTGGGCTCCACATCTTGGCAGCCTGGGTGACTCTGGTCTGATTATCATCTCACCCTGCACTATCATCACCCCAATCCTTGGCGGGAGGCCACTGTGTGTACAACAGGTTTCAGCCAAAGACTGGAGGTAACAGCAGGTGGGAGGTGTGGGCTACGCATTGTGTCAACAATAGTTTAAAACTACCCACACATGGGGGGATTACTGTAGACTGTGTCTGCCCAGAGGGTACAGACTGGCTCCCTCCTTTTCCATCTTCCCCCTTTCCTTTTCACGTTCCTCCCATCCAGTATTTAAAGCTTCCAACAAGGAATTGCATCTGTCTGGAATATTAGAGTCCGGTCTTCTCCTATCCTTATAAACATGTCTTGGGTTGGGAAGGAGATGTGATCTGGCTCCTCAAGCTTTATTGTATTTTTCTTCTTAGTCCAAAGGAACCTTCTCTGTGTGAAAAGGATTTTGTCACATTTCGAGGTTGATTGACACAAAGGAGAATCAGCATTTAAAATAGCATAGCTAAAAATTCTGCTTATCCCAAATATGGGCGTCAGATGGTGGGATGGCACCAATAGAAACCTGAAGGTACTTCTGATATTAGATGTTTATTCCTTTCTGGTAAATACTGATGGAGCCTCCACCTTAGTATTTTATTTTAAACAACTACTTTCTCTCTCTCTCTCTCTCTCTCTCTCTCTCTCTCTCTCTCTCTCTCTTTACCGAGGATTGAACTCATGACCTCGTGTTTGCCAGGCAGGTGCTTGTGCTTATTTTTAAAGATAGATAATCAAGAGCTGAATTTTTCTCTAAGAAACTTGAGGTTATATGGCATGATTTTGTGCCTTCCCTTAGATTTCCAAATATCTCTCTGGTTGCTGTGTGTCAAGTAGACCAGAGTATGAAGAATCTGCCAGCCAAAGACTGTTTTCATACTGCAGCTGAGAGAGGATGATAGCTTGGGCCCTCTTGGGAGTGGCTGAAGTGGTGACAAGTGGCCAGATTCTGGATGTATTTAAAGGCAGAGATGATGGGTTCTCCAGACAGGCTGGCTGGATATACAGTGAGAGAAGGAGGGAGAGTCAAGAATGACTTCAAGCTTTTTGTCTAAAGACCTCCCAAAGGTGGAGCCTATGTTTCTCGTCATGCAAAAGAATGCAGGTGGAGCACAGCTGGAGTAGGAGGAGAACAGTGGCTTGAGGAATGTGGTCAAGTGTATCTTCAGTGTTCAATTGGAGGAGAAACCAGCAGCTGATGTCTGAGGTTGGAATTCAGTGCTGATGAGTGAGGTGGTGGTGATGGAAGGCGGGAAGAAGAGGAAGGGATAGTTTACTAATTACTCCTCTACTAGCACACATTGCTAACTAGAAAAACAAAACAAGGGGGAAGCCATATGTTGTCATGTCAGGAAAGAACTTCATAGATTATCCTGTAGGATGGGGACAATAAGACCCAAAGACTGTAGATGGTGGTGGCCACACTGAGAGTGATGAAGTCAGTACAGAGCCCATCCACTGGATCCCACACCCTCTCCTCTTTCTGTACTACCGTGACCATGCTGCCTATGAGCTGTAGGCTTTGAAGGCTGCACACATGCACTAAAGGTGGGTGTGCTGAGGCTGAGTGACTTCAACTTTTTACTTATTTATTTTTTATTTAATGGAAAAAAGGTAAAACAAAATTTCATAACAAAATAGTAGGAAAATAACAATTGTTAATATTTTACATGTTATCTTTAAAGTAGTTACTCAGGGTACAAGTTACTCAGGGTACATCCATGCTTATAGCAGCACAATTTGTAATAGCTAGGTCTTGGAAACAATCTAAATGCCCATCACCTGAAGAATGGATACAAACGTGTGGTATTTCTATACAATGGAGTACTATTCAACCATAAAGAATGATAAACTGGAGACTTTTGTAGATAAATGAATACAACTTGAGACCATACTCATAAGTGAGATAAATCATCATGCACTAGTATGAGAAGCTGAAAGAAACAACATATGTATATGTGTATAAAATAGTTAAGATAGGTATACTACTGATTTCTCTGAGTTCATTGAAGAGAAAGATTTGTGCTGGTATTGTTTGGGAAATTGAATGCAGATGTCTTGTGCTTTTAGGGATGACAATGAGCAATGCATGTACCATTGTTGCCATCTGATTGACGTGTTTTAAATTTTTTTTCTTTTTGAAATAAAATGGATTTGAAAAAAGATAAGAGAATAAAAATGTCTCCAATCGATATTAACACAAACATTTCTTTTTAATGAACTAAGAGACACTAAGTGCATGACTGACTTGCATTTTTCCTAGAAAATGTAAAGACTTGAAAAAAATCAGACCTCCTCCAAATTCAAAGACCCAATAAAACAAGGGGCATCTGAGATGAATGCGTACTTCTCAGATGAAGAAATACATATATTCAAATAAATATATGAAAAAATATTCAGCATCACTGACCATTTGAGAGATGCAACACTGAGATTCCATCTCACCCCAGAAAGAATGGCTAACATCAAGAAATCAGTCAAGTTCTGGAAGGTCTATAGGGAAAAAGAAATCATTTTCCACTGGTGCAGCCACTGTGGAAATCAGTGTGGAGATTACTCAAAAAAACTAGGATTACAGATCCCATTTTACCCAGCTGTTCTCGTAGATATCCTCCTAGAAGAATTAAAAATGTACCAAGTGATATATGTGCACTCATGCTTATAGCGCCATGATTTGTAATAGATAAATCGTGGGAACAACCCAAATGCCCATCAACAAGGAAGGGTTTAAAAAGATGTTATATTTTTATAGAATGGACTTTATAGAACTCAGCCACAAAGAAGGATCAGCTTGAGACTTTTTTAGGTAAATGAATGCAACTTGAGACCATATTCATCAGTGTAATAAATCAGACTCACAAGAATAAGCATTGTATTTTCTCCCTGATGTGAGAAACTGAGAGTAAATAAGATCCAACGTATACAATAGATATTGTGAAATGGGAAGAAATTGTTTAAAAGCAAAAAACAACTTGGATGACTTTCAGTTTTATCTTCCTCCAGGTCACCATCCTTGTCAGCCTGGCCCTTGCTTTCCTTGCCTGCATTGTGTTCCTGGTGGTTTACAAAGCCTTCACCTATGACCACAGCTGCCCAGAGGGATTTGTGTATAAGGTAAGGGGCTCTGACTGTAGCTCCGTATGAAAGGATCCTCATGTCTTTGTTTGTGCCCCAAGTTTGGGCATGACAACTTCTTCCCAGTCTGTTTTAAATTCTCTTAGATCATTGAAAAGACTATTCATGGTATTGTCTATTTCTTTCTTCCTTGTAGTAAGAAATACTTTTGGTTCAGGTCTTGCACTGAGTACTTTGAACATAATGATAAGCAGTATAATAATTATGGTATTCTTTTATTACTTGATTATCAAAATTTGATTCATTTTTTTCATAAAATAGAGAAATGAAAAAGCAAAATGCAACAGGTTTGGAAAAGAATTTTTCCTGAAAGACTCAGTGACCGTGGAGTTCCTCTCCCAGGGGTTGGGAGGTGGTCCAGCTGCCAACTGCTTATCAGTGGTGAAGTGACCTCAACTTCACTGGGCATTGGCTTTTCCATCTTTAGAAACCTCTGCTCGCAATGCTCTGAGCCTTGACTTAGTCTTCATGGATACACGGCTGGTTTCTAACCTTCACATTGGCCCTGAAGTGTAAATAGAAGGAACTATACTACTGAGCTTTCCTCCTTTAGTTTTGCAGCTGGAATCATGACCTGATGGTCTCTTTTTAAAGTTATTTTTATTGCTACATATTTGTGGTAGATAATGAATATATTCACCATGAGGAGTTCGTACTTGTAGCTATCAAATTTTAATCCTCTTATTTTTACTTTCCCTCCCAGAATTCCCAAAATTCCCAGCCTATAAAAGATTTACCTTCCTCTTTCCTACACTAATATTTATAATTATCATTTACTAAGTATTATGTGTCAGGCCCTTTGCTAGACATTTTTATAAGCATTATCTCAGGCCACACAACCATTCTGCAAAGTAAGTTTTATTGTCTCCCATTTTACATATGAGAAAATACATGTTAAAAACATTTAGTTAAGGTTTTCCAAGACATCACAGCTTTGAGAATTCCACAGTAGAAGATCAAATGGGTGATGTTTCAACTCGGGAGCATATGTCCTCTTTTGTTCTGTTACATGATTCCCTAAGACCTTGTTCTTAATGGGAAAGTTCTGAAAACAGCTATCACTAAATACAATTTAATAAAGTAATAAAATATTCACAAGTTAGAATTCTACAGCTGTGTGAAGGTAAGCAAAGAATGCCTTGAGACATAAACGTGGAAAATCCTCTAAGATGATCTGGTTAAACAGAGGAAAAGGTCTACCTTCATGTGAATAAAAGAGGAGGTGAAAATATTTGCTTCTTTTTTTATGAAAGAAATTTTTTGAGGGATAAATTTAAAAATCAGTAAAATTGATTACCCAGGAAGAAGAGAGGGAACAGCGGACAGAGATGGAAACAAGGCTTCTCAGGATATACCTTGTTATATGTCTGTTCTCAAAACATGTAAATAGTTGTCATATTTAAAAATAAATATATGCTTGAAACATAAACCATACACATTAAAAACAAAGTAAACTAAGAAGCTGGCTCTATATCACATTGAGGACATATGTTTACAAAGAAAATAAATAAATTTAAAATGACTGTAGAATGCAGGATTTTGACTTTACACTGTCATGGAAAATTCTGATGCTCCTCAAATTATAATGGAGTTATGACATGATAAATCCATTGTAAGCTGAAACATCAAAAGTTGAAAACATTTTGAATATATCTAGTCGACCAAACATCATAGCTTAGTTTAGTCATGGTGCAAATGGAAAATTCCAATTACATTTCTGATTTAAGTACAGATGGTCCTCTACTTACAATGGTAGGGTAGACTGATAAACCCATCACTGATTGAGAATGTCCTGTTAAAATGCACTTATGTGGACCCAACCTACTAAAACCATAGCTTAGCCCAGTCTATCTTAAATGTGCTCAGAACACTTACATTATTACCCTACATTTGAGTGAAATCATGTAATGCAAAACTTACTTTATAATAAAGTGTGGATCTGTTATGGAGTTTATTGACTAGTACATTGAAGGTACTTTATGTCATCATAAAGTAAAAAGTCAGCCAGTCAAACCCTGGATTGTCTGTACCTTAGAGACACAGATTTCTGTAGAGAAATACCTGAATTCCTTTAGTATGCTAATTCTGAGTAGGAATATTTGTGTTTTTCTGTAGGACACAAATTGTAGGAGAATGAAAATGCATGACCACATTAAAGTTGATAGGAACCAAGATACTTGATGTAAACAAGAGGTGGAAGTGTAGAGTCACAAAGAGCTGTGGCCCGTGGACAAAGCGCAGAGAAGCAAGTGGGGCCTAGATAGCACCAACCACGTCTGCTACCGGGAAGGTCAATGAGCAGATAAGGCTGACCTTGAATCAGTGCCAACGCCAAGTTCATTCCTTCTGGCTTCTGCTCAGTAGCTCTGGTGATGGAATAATGATGATGATGTTGGACTCTCTGCTGTATGCCAGGCCCAGTGGGGTGTTACCACATGCCAGTGTGGATGACAGCCTGATAAATGAGGGCTCCTTGGTAGGATAGTATGTCTCAAGAGGGGTTGGAAGTTGCCCACTAAACTACTCCTGATTCTGTCTGTTTCTTCCCCAGCACAAGCGCTGCATCCCAGCCTCCCTGGATGCTTACTACTCATCCCAGGACCCCAACTCCAGAAGCCGTTTCTACACAGTCATCAGCCACTACAGTGTGGCCAAGCAGAGCACTGCCCGGGCCATCGGGCCGTGGCTGTCGGCAGCCGCTGTCATCCATGAGCCTAAGCCGCCCAAGACCCAGGGCCATTAGAGGCCTACCCCAGCCAGAATGGGGGTGGTGTGATAGGGCAGGGGCCTTCCCCATCGGCTAAGCCAAGCTTGAGTTACAAGACAACACTGTACTCCTGGGATATGGGGGTGGGGGCGGGGCAGGGTAGGGTGGGGGTGGCACTCTCCGAAAATATCGTGCACTGGAGTTGTCTGAATCGATATTTCTTTTTGTCCTTTGGTATTGTTGATTCGTCCCTAAGTCAGGCTCATGTACAAAGGCATGTTTCGTGTTGATCGTCCCATGTAAGATATTTTCAAAGCCACTGCTTATTCTTTGTTAGGAAAATTTAAAAACAGAAAAGATATACAAGGAAGTAAGTAGAAAGCATGAAACAGGCTCCACCTGGAAGATGTTAGACAGCAGTAAAGAACACAGAGTCTGGGCTTCTTAAACAAGAATTTGTAACTTCACTGTGGGCTTTGGAACATGTGAGTGACAGGGACTGAGCTTCCAGTCTGCAGGATAGGAGCCCTGGAGGCTGGGAATGGCTGAGTTGTAGAAAAGAACTGATTTTGGCATTTCTGAACCCAGGACGCAAGTGGCCTGGAGCCAAATGTACTGATCACTGGTACATTTGGCAGGATGAGCACAAACTTCAGCTGGGCATTGATGCTAGGGCTTGGGCAGACCCACATGGCCTAGGCCAACCCCTCATGGCCTGGGCTCTGAATGCTCACCCAGTGGCAGTGTGTTTTGCCTCAGCAGACACTGAGATGTGGGCAGGTTTTGTTCAGTGCTTTGTTTTTCTAGATCTATGCCTGGATATCACCTTTGTTTATGAGACAGCAAGGGTAGAGAGGGAGAAAGGGAGGTAAGGAGGTGAGAAAAAAGAAGGTACAAGGCAGGGCTATGAGCCTTGGCCAAGTCAGAAGCACAGGCACATAATTTTTAAAAATTTTATCTGTGTTTCCCAAAATGCTAACAGCACTAGTGACAGTTGGATTACAAGCAGAAACTTCAAGCGGTATCCAGAAAGAGTCCTGAAGATTTGGGCTGCAATAATCCCAACTCATTTCTGGAAGAAATTGGAAGAGGTGACTTGTTCACTGCATTGTACTGACAGGGGATATTGGTCCAAATTTCTCAATCAAGTTCTACATGCTCCTGACAAGGAGGCAGCATCCGGCATTGACCAGGCCTCCTGCTCCATGGAAACATACAGGGCAGCCCAGGCCTTCTCACAGTTTCAGGGAGGCCCATTCTGTGCGGGTTTTGGCTCTAGGCCCAACAGGGCCAGAACTGATTAGGAGAATTGGTGATGTGAGATGTGTTACTGTTTCCCCATGAGTCTCCAATAGGCCATTTAAAAGGGATTTTTTGTGGCTTGCTATGCTGCTGAAATCATTGTACACAACAGCTGGGAAATAAGACTAGTATAGCTCAAACTATCCTGCCAAACGCTCTTATCTGATTTTTCCTTTATCCTCCTCCATGCTCCCATCACCTTGAGTAACCTGTAAATTCACTTGTCATCTGAAGCAGAATGACAAGTTGTCCCTAGCAAAACTGCTGAACGCTTTATAATTTCGTGGTGTATTTTTGTCAGTAGGTAGCAGAGTCTGAAGTATTTTTTGGTGTAATTCTTGAAATTTTCTGACAGAAAACAAATAAAGATAGATGTGTCTGAGAGTCTTGACCTTCCCTTGCAACTTTCTTTGTCTTCTGCTCAGTGAGATGACCAGGAAGATGCTGGGGGTAAGGGCCTTGAGGGTGGATGAGCCCTGGGGACAGAGTGACCTGTGAGGCAGAGTGACATGCAGGCCCTACATCTCCAGGCAGCTGGGGCCTGAGATGATGCTGGGATCCTAAGCACGGATGAAGAGTTGCACCTGGCCAATGGGCTTGCAGTCCACTGCCCTTCATTCTCTGAGCCTCTGCTGGTCAGCCAGAGGACCAGGCTGAGCTGGGTGTGGGGCATTCAGCACTAGATGTCAAAGAGTAGAGTGCATCAGTCTCTTTTCTGTGGCAACTGAACATAGTCTGTATTCCTCATGAAGAAAAGAAATTCGTTTCTCACAGTTCGGGAGCCTGGGAGCCAGCATCCTGTATAAAGGATGGGTCTTTTTCAACTATCATCCCAACGCAGAAGGGCAAAGAGAAGGTGAGAGACAGCAAGAGATCTGACTGGCAGCTTCAAACCCTCTTATAATGGGCATCGCCCACTCACATGAGGGGAGAACTCATGACCTAAACACTTTTCCATAGGCCCCACCTCTCAACGCGGTTGCATTGGGGCTTAAACTTCTAATAGGTGCTTTTGGGGTAACCCATTCAAGTCATAGCACATAAAGGTGACTCTGAAGTCTGCAAACAAAACGATGTAAAATAGTGGCAGGAGGAGGGTCTGATGCTACTTTTGATAGCAGGCAGCTGGTGGCCAGCCAGCAGCCTGAGAAGGAAGATAATGAACTGTGAATGGGGCTCTCCTCATAATTAAGGGATAGGATGACCTGGGCATGTGGGAGTCATTGACCCCCATTAAACAGGTAGAGACTGTGGCTCAGAGGTATGAAGAAACTGTTTCAGGGTGATGGTAGGAGAGCTGGGATCTAAACCTGGATTTGAGGGGTGCTTTTACTTCTCTCGGCCTCTTCTGTGTAAAACCTCAAGCAATGCTGTCAGAGTCACAGTTAATCCCTCATAAAGTCAATTTGTAGTTATCATAAAAGTAAACTCACTTATTCTTGGCCAGAAATTAGTCTCAGTGGTTAATGTCAAAAGAGCAAACACCTAACTATCTGTGTTCTGCAGTAAGTAGTCAAGTGTTTGATGTTCACAGAGCTACCCACAAATTCCAGGAGATGAATACTTCCGTCTTCAGCACCATCAGCACAAGCATCACCATTACAGCCCTACATGAAGAAATGGAGACAGAATAGGAAAGCAGCCTGCTTAAGGCCATTTGGTTAGTAAATGGCACAGCAGCGATTCCAAGTTGTGCAGTTTGGTAAACCAATGTCATACCACTGTACCACCCATAGTTCGTGGTTTGCTCTGAAGTTCATAGTTTGTGTCCATTTTCTTTATGTTAGATGTCAGGCCATTTGCAGAAGTGGTATGGGTAGGCCGAGAGTAAAGGCTCTAAACGGATTGCTGTACTGGGGGTGTGTAGTTGGGCCTGGGTGGTAGTGGGGAGAAAGAAGATACAGTATCTCTTGCTCTTTGGGGTTACACAGGCTATGAGCACCAAGCATCAGACAACCTTCGGCACACAATATGGACTTAGGTACCCAGCATGTCTTTAGGAGATGGTAAGGTGAACTGAGCTGGAAAGGCCCAGGCAAGGATCAGGTCTGGCATCTCTATCACAAAGACCGACTGATCCATATAGCCACCATACAAACACCCAATGTCCTGTTCAGCTAAACCAAGTCAAGTAAAGACTTAATAGATGTTCAAACATTCGGTCATAAATTTCTCACTCTAAAAACAAACTAAATCTAACTTTACTTGGCAACAAACAGGTGATGGGTGTGTTATAGAAGGAAAGGAGGACGGGAGGGTAAGGAGATGTGTGAAGCTATTTGTTTTCAAGAGTGACCCTGAAGCCATGTGCTATTTCTGGCAGAATTGTAATTTTCATATCAGGATAAAGGAGGTTGCCTAACTCCTCACATGGATATCCAAGGAGTGGAAGATCACTCAAGAGTTTAACCAAAGCAAGTTTAGTGAAGAGGAAGCTCCTCTGAGTTTTGGAAAGCGGAGTTGTGCAGAGTTTCTTCTGGCTGACAAGGGAGCCAGGATAAACATAGAATGATCATAAAAACAGCACCTTTGTTAGTAGAAAAACTGCATTTGTGACTTTTGAACACTTTTGAATCTTTCCACCATGAATGGAAGGTGATCCTGAAAGGCTCCCAGATAATACAGGACCAAGGCTATGGAGTCAAGGTTGTGATTGTCTCTGGAACTTCTAAGAGGAGAGAGCATGTTAGTGTGTCACCTAACAGGGCTGACCTGGCCTTTGAACTGAGCCTTGCAGGTCAGGTCACATTCCAACAGGAAGCCCGGAGGAAAGACATTGTAATGCCTTCCTCCCGGAGAAATGGGAAGTGTAAGATGTGAAGGAGGGAACTCCAGGGCTTCCTTCATGAGGGCTGTGGTATAGCTCTCCTTTACCAGTGCTGAATGCAAAGCTGAAAAACAAAAAGAAGCTGCCTCTGCTCCTCTGGGGCTCATCGCCCAAGCTACGGTGGGGTAGAGGTGGCGGGGGGGGGGATGAATGAAGGAACAATTTATGCCTTTTGAGGAGAAGCAATCATGGTGGCCCAGGTACATCATGGTGCCTGGTTCCAGCAGTCGGTCAGATCAGAAGACATTTAGGAGGAGATGTTTTTCTGGAAATTCAAAGACTGAATTATTGGAACTATTATGGATTGACTTATCTGCCCTCCATGTCCTCAGTGTGATCTGATCCAACTGGGGAGTCAAATGGAAGAAGAAATAGATCCCAAGCAATTTTTCAAGATGCATACAATGCCATTTATTTAAAGAACAGTGCTCCTGAACAGTTGCAATGAGAAGCGCTAGTTTCCATGGCGACTTCAATGCTGTTTCCCATAGATCAGAGTCACTCTAGCACAATGGGGTGTTTATCCCACTCTGTCCTTTTGTCAGAGATGATCTGTCCCTGGGCACACAGAGTCAGTATTGCTTTAGTTAAATTTGCTCTTAAACATGGCCGTACATTCTCTCGGAATACCCTTGGCCTCTCTACTCTCCCTCTGTCTCTTCGCCTTCTTAATCTCTGGCTTTCTCTGTCCCCTTCCAAGAGAATTGTGTTCAGATGCCCTGATGTTCCAGTGATGAATGCTGTGCTGAGTTTGGGCTTTGGGTAGAGGGGGGAATAGGTAGAAGGGGAAGATGCCCTGGAAGGAAGGCAGCTACCCCTAGGTCTGGCCTTGGCAAACTCCTTTTTCCCTCTGTACATCAGCCTCCTTGTCTTTATCCTTCATCACTGTGTGAAGATTCTATGATAGATATTTAGAGATTTACCTATAGCAGGCATTTGACATTGTAGCTGCTGTGGATAAAATTCCTACTCTGTCCCAGGTTCCTCATTTGCAGATTAGAATTATTTACACTCTAGTCTCAGCCCCTATATAGTGTCTCCATGGGATAACATATAACTAACAGCCTTCAAGTGTCTATAACATAGGAACTGATCACTTCCTATCTGCCTTTAGAAGCTCATGGGTCCCCAGTCCCAGGCCCTGGCTCCTCCTCCATGATCTGTCACATGCATCTTTGCACAAAGCTAACGGTTGCTCCAGTTCTCCATGTCTGTTGTGTACTAATAGTTTTTAGTTGCTAAATTCAGTGACACAGATATATTATTTTTTATTATAAACTATTGCTTCAGTTCTCATCACATATCCTGAAATAATTTTGATAAAACTCTTTACACACATGTTTGTAAAGAAAAAAGAAAGCAAAAAAAAAAAAAAAAACAATAAATAAAAGCAAGCAAGCAAGCAAGCAAGAAAGCATAGACTCTCTGAAGACTTCACCAGTTTTTCCACTAAAATAATCTTTCTCTTCCAGGATATAGTTTGAGATTCTACATTGCATTTAGGTGAAGAGTACTGGTAAGCTATTTCATAGTGTCCCTCAATTTGGTGTGTCTGATGTTTTCCCATGTTACCTTGAAGATGTGTATTCAGGGTAGAGAATCACACTGATTCATGTCAAGGGCTTACGATTGGTGATGTTCTCCTTAATGTGTTTGCTGAAGTGATCTTTGTCAGGCTTGTCTATTACAATATTACCATTTCCCCCATCATAATTATGGAAAATCTGAGGACAATGAAGACAACTTGTTTCTCCTTAAATTTTCACATGCACATTCTAGTATTTATCAGCAGATTTTTCCTGCAGCAATTATGACACTGAAAAGTTAATAATAATTTCCTTTTCCCCTCTTTCTTCTACATTGATTGTCCCTCTTCCACATTCCTTTATTTTTCCATTCATTTCTTTATATTAGTATAAACTCACGAATCTTTACTTTTTGGGGGGTTATAATTCAACATTATCTTGTCTTGTTCCTCAAATTGTCTTGATTTTTGTCATTAAGAGCTGTTTTATGCTAGCCCCTATCTCTGTCTATCTGTCTATCTATCTATCTATCTATCTATCTATCTATCTATCATCTATCTATTTGCATCACAAGATCTTTTAGGCTTATCACATAAGCCTATTGATCATGCCTGAAATTGATCATGCCTGAAATTGATCATGCCACCAAACAGCCCTGATTCCTTTTATTACTATATAGATGTCCTTGATTGCAAGCTTATTAGGCTGAGCTAAATATTATGAATATGAATTCCATATGCTGTTATCTATTTACTTACCCATCTATCATTTATCAAGTCAGCCTATCTATTTTCTCTCCCTCTCTCATATGTGTGTGATCTATTTACTTAGCTACATTTCTACTTATCTATCATTTATCTACCTATCATCCAGCCATTCACCATCCTTCTATCCATTTAGCCATCTCAAATTCATATGTGTTTACTTACTTACTCCAAACACAACTGTAGCACCACCATAGAATTCCTTGTAGAATACCTTTTGCTTGCTTGTCATTTCTTTCATGGACATTAGGAAAAATGATTTTAT